AATAAGCAAATTTAAAGTAGCCAGGTTGAAACGCTCGCAAAGAGCTTACTTTGCACAGTACGCTTTTTAATCTTAGATAAAAGTATCCTTTTGTAGTGAAAGAACAGCAGCTTGCTATTTTTAAATTTAGTTCCGGATCTGTTCACTGACTGTGTACTATTACTCAATTTAAAAGATCAGCATTATCCAGGTAACTTTGCATACAACGATTTTAAAAAGAAATATATCACATTCAAAGGATATCCGAGCGAAGTTTAGTCCACTAAAACATACAAGATGACTTTGAAGACTGTGGTGGCTGACCGCTAACGGTAGCGGTCTACTTCATCTGAGAATGCCTCGCTTAGGGGAGCAACGCTTCGACGGAATCTAGAATCGGCACTTCTCTGTTGGCGGTCGGGCGGACCACATCGGGCTAGGAACTGTCACACGACTCGCGTTTTGTACCTGCTAAATTTAATTTAAATTAGTTGCGTGATCTAGATTGCTTTGTTTGTTGCTCATTACCCTATTTCACCCATAAATTATGTTTTCTGTGGAAGACTCCCATTCTGATCAACCCCTTCGTACCAACATATCTTATACTAACTGTGCCTCGCGGTTTCAACCGCGTAAATTACGGGTCAACGGGCAATATGACACCTTGATTCTTTAGGATATCTTTAGGATCTCAGATCGCGACTGGGACCCGATATGCGCCGTTCGCACCAATTGTTTTAACCGAGTGTTTAATAATTTTAATTTTTCGTTATTTATATAACTATACGTCCAAATTACGTGCTATAAAGAGCAAAGTTTATCTTCATAGTTTGTCATTGTCTTGATGTTGAAGTATCTTTCATCCGTAAGTATTAATATGCCAATTAATAACGCTGATATATCATTTTTATAATTTTCTATTTTTTGTCACAAAATACGTTAATATGGCTTATGTATAAGAAATAGGTACATGCTATCGCGCAATATTTTTTAGATGGAAGAAAGATCTATTTTTGTACAACATTGTATTTACGTATCACTAACGCCAGTGCAAGTTGATAAAGCAGTTTGGAAACGCTCTTTCTTCAGACTCGCTTAACAAAAAGAAATATTTACGGCTAGCGAGAAGTTGTAGTCTAACGCCAGACAGTAGCTTATACGATAGTAGTTTAAACGTGATAGAGCCTTGCTGCAGCAATATGAATTGTATAGTTGTAGTACGAATGGGTCGGCTCGACCGGGGAAGGACCATGCTCTCACAGAATACCAGCGTGAAATAGCAGATAAATGCTGCTGCATTTCGTATGGTGAGTGTAGAGAACCGGATACCCTTTTTGCTGGAAAAGAGGCATTCCATCTTAGTCCTCGCGGCTGACAACGCATCTGCATTTTGATTCTCAAATAATGATAGATGTAGATGTCTATGTACCACTGCAACCACTTACCATCAGGTGGACTGTGTGATCGCTTGTCACCTTTATCATATAAAAAAGTATATTATCTATCATAAATCTAATTATCACATACAAAAACTATTGATCAAATCGGACTGGTAGTTTCATAGATTAGGTGTTTAAATAGACAAAACACCAACCAAAAAAAATCTTTATCTATCTATAATCCACTTTACTATATTACTGCATGTAGATGGTGAAGAGTCAGGTGTACTGTGAGCTCACTTGTCACGCTTATTCTATAAAAAAACCATAAGTTATAAACCAGAGTCCATACGACGGCAACTGAATGCTGTGACCCTTAGTGCATAGACATTTTTATCCATTCTCAGTTAATAATCAAAATGCAGATGTGCACGTCGGTTGTAATAAAAAGGGGCCTCCAGGTCTCTACACTCACCGTACAGAACACACCATTAAGCTACTATTTTACGCTGGTATTCTGTGAGAGCGTGGTCCTTTTTCAAATTCCAAATGCATGCTACCACCTTAATACATATGAGAATGGCTCTACCATGTATAAAATGTTATAGAATTAAATTAAATTATTTGCATGCTTTTAAGACATTACTAAACATTTTTTTAAATTTTGTCTGTCTGTCTGTCTAATGATTTCTTATATTTACGCAAATACTACAGATTAAATGAAATTGATTTTAAAGATTTTTCGCATTTAATTTTCCCTTTTATTCCAGACGTTTCGGATGTTTTGCAGCACCCATGGTCACGGGTGCGGTGTTTGACGTTCCGATATTATAGTTAACCCAGCCAGCCTTCAGGCTTTTAATATTAATTTTTGGTTCGATCTGCGTGGAAAGAGCTCAGTATCTTGTAGTCTTGTAGTCTGGTATACTTGGTTTTGGATTTAATTTTATTAATTATTGCACACCAAGGATATGGAAGTACCCCTCCATACTCTCTAATAAAATTAGGATGTTTTAGTTTTAATTGCCTTGCATATCATCCTCGGTAATTAGGTCATCGACTGAATCTGACATTTAACTACTTTCGTGATTTCCAGTAATAACAGATTTACATGTCTGTACTAAATCATACGTATGCAATACGTAATATTTCATGTAAATTATTTAAAAGCAAATAAATAGATAGATCCCTTTACCTTTAAGTTTGGTGGCCCGTCCGCAAAGGGCTGACTGAAAATCTGCACTCTGACCATATTATGACGGGTTGAATGATGTGCCACTTTCATTGCTTCATATTTAATTACGCAAACTTATAATTTTTAAGTTTTTTATGTCCCCATTTTCACTTTTCCTCCCTCTGTAAATATCTGTGTATGTAAGAACTATCTATGTTTTTTTATATGAGGGGCGGCAAACGAGCATGCGGCTCACTTGATGGTATATAGCTTTAAGTTAAAAAAGTTAGTACAACCTTTATTAGTCCACGTCGTTCGGAATGGGCCTCCCTTCATTTCGCAGAAGATTTTAAGGCAAGTACGAGGGTACTCGTAAGGGTCAGCCGCGCTGCCGCAATGCGTGTTGGCGAATTTCACATATCTTTGAAATATTTTTTTTCATGTTGCTTAGACATGCAGGTTTCCTTACGATGTTTTCCTTCCCTACCGAGCACGTAATAAATCGGCACTTAAGATTGCAATGAACAATTTCATAGGTACCGGCGGGGATTTAACCCGGTTTGCTCACGTACTGTGAAATTTACAGAGAGCGCTAACCGTCGGAGCTACCACGGCTCTATACCTCACCTTAATGTAGTATCTGTCTCAATTTATCCGAATGAAGCGACTTAAATTAAGGCTTATATTTTTAGTCCGTAAGTTTGTATTTATCTTTACTTTCACAAACTTCAGTTACTCTCCAATTTTAACTGACTTCAAATAAAGGAAAAGGTTTTTATTAGACGCGTATATTTATATATTATGTGCCCACTTATTTTTGGGAATCGGATTACTTTTTATATCTCAAATTTGCTGCTGTTCAAAGTTGAAGGAAAATTTCAAGTCAGTTTAATATAATAATATAACTCAAAAAATAAAATAATTTCCGAAAAAAACTAAAACCATAGTTGCTAGCTTCTGCAGTTGATGCTAAAGTTTCATTTGATTTGTCAATCGCACGAATATAGGTAACTTCATAAATTATTATATTACAGTAAATTAATCTCAAAATTATTTGAAATAAAAAACTTTTTGTTCTTTACTATTATACGTTATTAAATGGAGGTTAAATGTTAAAAATTACAAATGTGTGAGAGCTGATGTTCAACTTGTTCTCTCGCTTACGCAATTAATCATTATCAGGAATTAAACATCATACTGCACTTCACAATCACTATAGAGCAAATACAGTTCGACCAGCATTAATACCTATGTCCACGTCACAATCACATACTGGTGTAACGTGAAGGACATAATTACATGATAACACCAAAGTATGCAAGCCAACAGCATCACTACTAATGTAACACAGGCCAGCCTCTCAGCAACACGAACTTCCTTGCCAACACTAGTAGCCATAGGCAAAGTAACATCAGTGAGACTCGTAGAATCACTGACTGATCCCTCTTAGTCGCATACGTGATTCTTTATACCGCTAGAACGATTGGGAGATTATAGTTCTACCTTCATTTGTTCGTGTTTCCTTTTATTTTTTACCCACATTCCCTAATATATTTAGAGAGGTAACATCGACTCTATGGGTGCGTTTGGCAGAAAAAAGCGCTAGCAAGCGCTTGTAAGCAAAATGACGAAACTAAACAGTTTTCGACCAGGACACGTTTGCTAACTTCAGTAGCGCTGACACAATCCGCCATTTTGCTTATTTAATTTATTTGTTTTGAAGTAGTAAAGTTATTTTGAATAAGTAAAGCAGGCGTTTTTACATAAATCGTTATATTATTACAAAGTAATACGATTTTTTTAAGTGGTGTATCCACTATGCAGCTATATTATGATTGTAAAACGAAGGAGTCGGCTCGACCAGGGTAGGACCACACTCTCACAAACTACCAGCGTAAAAAAGCAGCTTAATGCTGCTGTGTTTCGTATTATGAGTGTAGATAACCGGAAACCATCAGCTGGACCCTGCGTTCGTTTGTCACTCTAATTCTATAAAAAAAATAATTACACAAAATTTTCGCAGGTTTTATGCACACTTTTATTGAATAAAATTATTTTTACGGATTATTTCATGTTTAATTTATTTATTTTGGATCAAAAGTAATAAAAAAGTTGAAGATACTCCGTTTTACTATATAGTAATTAGTGAGTGCTGAGTTGATTCTGTGCCATTTTCTTCCACCATTTTAAATTGAGTCTCTCTCTTTGACTTGTGACTTATGCTTAAGATACACTTCTTGACTCTCTCTCTTCGACTTGTGATTTATGCTTAAGATCGCTTCTAAGGCCCTCTATCGCTAGTCTGATAGGTGATATCGAGTCCACTGCAGTGTCTTTCAACTCCTTCATTTTCATCCTCAGTTTCTCCAAGCTGGCATGTACCGAGGGGAGTGCGGAGCTCGAGACAACCGAGGATAGGCTTCGGATCTCTAGAGATATTCTGCTTACTTCTTGTTTCAGCTCAGATATTAGATTAACAAAAGTTTGGAGTCCGTGATTTCCTGTTGCAATATCTCGGCAGCAACATTTGCATCAGCTATATTCGCTGGTATATTGGCAGGTAATTCATATCTTTCTCTATTGGTGTATATCTCCTGTATGATGCGCCGGAGCTCTTTGAGTTCCTCTGAGAGATAATTCCATTGATCTTGGGTTGCAGTTGGTGATTTTCTAAATGAGCTCATATTGTCTCGAAGTAACTTTATCTCTTCCGAGATAATCTGCAGCTGACTTGTCAAGTTTGAGCCTAAGCTTGTTTCGCTTCTAAAATTTGTTATTTCTCTCTTCGTTGCTGAAACTGCCTCACAAAGATCGTATGAGGCAATAAGTCTGGTTGACTCAGTTTCCTTCTGGAGCTTCTCTATGCTCTCTTTCAATGTGGCATACTGACCTAGAGTTTCATGCTTGAATCGGGCATGTCTTTGGGTGAGCCTTTCTGATTTTCTAGAGAAATTCGCCTTATGCTTACTGGATTCGAGCATGTTAGCATGCGTGAGTCAAAGAACTTAAGGATCATCTCATACAATGTGTGTAGACCCGCAACTACACTCTCACAAATTTCCTTCTTTAAGTTGCCAGGCTTTTCTAAGTCTGCTTTGGCTCTTTGTAAGATTTCATTGTGCCACCAATCGACCTTGTGGAGGCGTCGATGTTGGTCTCGCCACTGTCGTCGTCAGATTCGCCTGTGACTTTTCGCCTCAGCCTCAGACGTGGCTTTGAGAGTTTCTTGAGCTTTAGCTGCTTTTGTCTGCCGTATCTGCGTACTTATTCTAAGCAGGCTAGATCCAGTTCTCGAGAGAACTGGAGATGACGTTGCATCACCGAGTTTTGGCGACGTGAAGAAGCTTGAGGCTGGCTCTATATTAGGCTTCTCGTGCTGATCCCCCGTTTGAGACTCCGTATGTTGCTCCCCTGTGCCGCCTCCAGAGATTTCTAGTGGTGGTGCACTCGGGTGTTGATGAGCTGACTCCTCCATAGGGTCATTAATTAATGGTACCCGGCTTGTCTCTTTTGCACTTTTTGCAGTATATGTTGGTCTTTTTAGGGTGCTGTGTACCTTTTAGATCCACTGGACTCGGATTTCTTTGATTTATCTGACATTTTTTCCTTCTTTCCTTATTTTTCCCTTTAAAGAGATAGGTCTCTAATAAACAAAAAGAAATAACCCAAGAACGGTTATCGTATCTTAAGGAAAGAAGTCTCTCTCTCCAAATATTTTCAAGATAGCCGACCAATATTGTCAAAATGTAATTTAAAGACTTAACAGTGCTTGCCAGACTCATTTTTCTCTGATCTATGTGATTAGTATGGTTTCGCGAGAAAAATTTTGCTTTTTTTATAATATTTTTTTTGGCACTGAGTGAGTAGCCTTCAGAACGACAATTCTAACGAACCTATACACTGGTATATTAGTACTAGTGGTTTCAAAGTAATAATTCCAGTGATGACTTATGGATCTGAGACGTGGTCCTACAATGCTGGACGGAGGAAGCTCAAGTTCGCTCAGCGAGCTATGGAGAGGGCTATGCTCAGGGTTACTCTGCGTGATAAACTTAGAAATGTGGATATCTGCAGTAAAACCAAAGTGACTGACATAACCCACCGAATTAGTAAGCTAGGGGCATTGGGTTGGCTATATAGCTAGAAGAACCGACAACCGATGGGGAAAAAAGGTTCTCGACTGGCAGGCTCGTACCGGTAGGCGTAGTGTAGGGCGACTCCCCACTAGATGCAGTGATGACCTAGTAAGACATGCAGGAATTCGATGGATGCAGGTGACTCAGAACAATGCTTTGTGGCGATCCTTGGGAATGGCCTATGTTCAACAGTGTACTTGTGACGGGCTGTAATAATGATGATGATGATAATTTGATTTTACCTTGTAACGTCTCGGGACACTAGAACGTGCTCAGTGCTTGTTAATGTATAACATGTATATACATATATATCATATCTCACACGGAATAAGTATTTATATTTCTAAGTGCTGTTTTACCACGAGCCCGACTATGAAGAAAAACATCGTGAAGAATCTTGCATGTCTGAAAAATAAGAAACTACCTAACTGCCGCCGCTGCGCACGTTTTCGGTATAATTAATAAATCAATTCTAGCTTGAGTTATATCAATAGTTTATAATGTTTAAGGACTATGGTTGGATTTGCTTGCACTAAAATGAATGAACTTTAAAATCCTAGTGTGGAGGTATTTTTTTAAATCGTAAGATTTTAAGGGTATGTATGTAGTTTTATCGTATCCATAAATAATTAGTCGATATAGATATCGAGATATATTGAAGATGGGCCAAATTAAGGGCGCCCTGAACCGGCGCGCATGTATATGTAGGTGACAAATAGAAGTCAGCAGTTTCTGCCTATCCACCTAAGTGACAGACGTGTGTTATGTATGTATGAAGAATGTATGTATGTATGTATTTATGTAAAGTTTTCTAGGATTGAGCAACTGCTCTTCTTCAAATATTAATGCCGTGGGTTTGCGAAAATGATTTAGAAGAATCACTTTCGATAACCTTTGAATCACTCTTTTTGATTAGTGGTTTTCTTAAATGAGTTTTATTAGTAGTTTGTACAATCTGTGGTCTCATTATTTAATTTACTTTGAAATGAAAACGTCCCAGGGAGATTTTGTAGGTTTTTCCCAGGACACAGATTTTGTTCCGAACAATTGGTCAACAGGTTACCGTACATGCCCGTTTGCCTCCTCTCCTATAAAATAAATAAATAAATAATTTTACCAATTATATATTAAATATAAGTAAAAATATGGATCGTGCTTTGTCGCATTACTTGGGGGAGACCTATGTTCAGCAGTGGACTTGTGAAGGGCTGTAATGATGATGATGATGAAGTAAAAATATGACTTTCAATGAAAAGTTCTTGTTATTTGTAATGACAGAAGGGTTTTTCTTTTCTACTCTATTCTAGTTCTTTTCGATCGTATTACGTTACAAATTTTCTCAATTTTGATTTTAAAATACGATTACAACTTTGTTTAATTTCTTATTTGATTGATTTAAAATATGTCTTGGGTTACCCAATGCTTTACTACTACGGACTTTTGTCTAAAAGCTTCTAGTTATTTTAATTATTATCAATAATTCACAAATAATTCGCGCTAAGTAACTGGGTTAATTTATACGAAGTAAATATCAGTTATTGACGCCATGATACAAATACTTTTATTAGTCATTTAAAATGAAGCTTCTCTCTTTTATTCATACGGTATAAAGCAAATATTCATAATGAAATCATAACCAACTACACCACAATATGTCACCGTGATACAATGCTGAGGTAAATAGACAGCTATAGCCAGTAGACAGTTGATGAAGACAGTATCTCAAGTTTGTAAGGCGCATTAGCCGTCCTAATAACTTGAGGATTATATGAATTTCATCGAAGTGTTTATTTCGGCGTTTCCATTTATAGTCGACATGCGTATACATTTTACACTCTAGAAAGTATCACTTTAACGTATCAAAATTTATTTGAAACTATTCTTTAAACAGTAAAACAGGAGCAACACATCTTTTGTAATGCGTACAGCAAAGGAATGGAATAATTTTCTGGCATCTGTCTTTCCATCCGAATACAATCTGAGTGGCTTTTGTTACAATAAGACAGTGCAATTTACTATCTATATATTATAGGGCTTTATCACCAATTACCAAGTAAAAAAACTTTATAAGTTAAAAAAACTATCTACAGGAGGTCAATTTGCCGCCAAAACTTCTTCATGAAGTTTTATTTAAGGGGCCGCATTCCGATCGTTACATTATTATTCATCGAATAAATTATAACTTGACTAAATATTACAGTGAAATCATTGAACCATTTTATTCATACAACTGTAATTATCAATTTATTTATTGTATTTCATCCTATGAATAAATTTTAAGTGAGGATTGAATGAATAATTTATTTTATTTATATGCTTGACAACAACAACAATTTTCGTATATGAACACTAGGATTTTCTCCTGTATCGTTAAGGCAGTTTACATGCATACATTGCATAAGGACAAAAACCCAGATCCGGAACGATTACATGTAGAACATATAAATACTTGTTTCGTGCGGGATTCGAACTCACGGCCCTCAGCACCGTAGCTCATTGCCAAGCCACTCAGCCACGGAGCCGTCACTAATGTTACGCTAATGTTAGAAAACAAGTAATCAAAAATAACTTTACCTTTTCTACAAAAAGTAAACGTACACGCGGCTCACCTGATGTTAAAGGCCTTCCGCTGCCCATGAACAACTGCACCATCTGATAAATTACAGATGCGTTGCCGGCCTTTTAGAAAAGAGTAGGCTCTTTTCTTAAAGATTCCTTATTCGTATAAGTCCGGAACAATCGCTAGTGGAAGTTGATTACACAAGGAAGTTGTGCGAAGAAGAAGGCTTCTTGTTAATCACGCATTGGTAGACCGCAAATCATCCAGATGGAAGTATTGAATGTAATGCGTAAATTAATTTAATATTAGTATCAGGATCAGGGTATTATCCCTCTGGGTAACAGGCATGAGGGTTTACGTTATTAAAATAATACTAGCTTTTACGAATTTTATCGCGTATATTTAACTATAAATACCCGACGTTTCGAGCGCTTTACAGCACCCATGGTCACGGGGAGGCCAACCCAGCCATCTTCTCTATTGAAATTAGGATGTTTTTTGATTTCAATAGCCTCGCGAATCATCCTTGGAAGGAAAATAATAATAATAAACATTTATTTCTCCCACTTTTTACATAGTTACAATAGTTTCATAAATAGTTAAAGAGTTTTTGAGTAGTTGTGGGAGACAGGAGCCCAAACTAGGTTACCCTGTGCTATGGGTCTCCTGGCTCCCCCCTCTTGGCTTTATTACATACTTTTCGATGATACTGTTCTTAGACATGAAGTGAGCGTTGCATGTGGAGATCGGATATGAGATTTCCAAAGTGTTATGTACAATTAAAGTCATATAGAATAAATATAATATGCAATATGTTTTAAATGATAATAATAAAAGTATATAATCAAAATTTTATATAAATATATATACACATATATAAATACATACATATATATACATATACAAACATACAAATATACGTGTGTGTGTGTGTGTGAGTGTGTGTGTGTGTGTGTGTGTTTGTGTGTGTGTGTGTGTGTGTGTGTGTGTGTGTGTGTGTGTGTGTGTGTGTGTGTGTGTGTGTGTGTGTGTGTGTGTGTGTGTGTGTGTGTGTGTGTGTGTGTGTGTGTGTGTGTTTCTCACTATTCCGCTTGTACAGTAAATTCTCTGTTTCTTCGTAATCTAGTTTCATAAGCCAATCTGTTAATTTTTTCTTACATTTATATTTTGTTAGTTGAAAAATTGAATGTTTTTTATTTATAACCTGTCTTTATTATATAACCTTATATTATATAACCTGTCCTTATTATATAACCTGTCTATTCTGTACCCATAAAACCTTTGG